ATGTCTCTTTTCCCAGGATGTCCATAGATATACTGGAAGCAGGCCACACCCCTAGTGAAACTCCCTTTCAACAGATTGGCTGCTCAAAACATAATTATCTGATCCCATCATGGGAATAACCACATCACAACAGCTTAAACAACACAGAATTGTGGTCCAGCCAAGTTGACACACAGCTCCAACTATCATACAAGGTGAATTTGGTGAACTCAAATTTCTAACCTTTTGCTTAGCAGCTGAACATGGTAACCATTTGCATCACCCAGGTACTCTATTACTAGAGGAAATACAGCACTTAATGAGTACTTGAATTGTTGATTAGAGTCAATGAGAAAATGTGACCAGGGCTGTTCTTAGGAAATTTGTTAACTAGTGAAGGAGGCCAACATCTAACCAAACAAATAAATGTATTATTCCAAATTGATGAGAGTTCTGAAGGTAGAAGACAGTGTTAATGTTTCCATGTTATTTTCTCTATATGAGAGTAGGTGAACCTAAGAAAAGTTCTCTCTGACAGTGTGACATTTAAGCTGAAATCAAAAAGACAAGGCGTAGGAGTTAGTCCTATTTGAAAGGGAAGGAATAGGAGGCAGAACACTGTTCTATGAATTGGTTGATTTCATTTCTGTGGTGAGAGAGGGAGTTAATGTAGGGTTGCTCCTAGATTTGACACTGGAGTAATTTCTCATGATTGGGAAAAAAGCTGAGGGAGGAATCAAATCTTCATTGTAAAACTGACAGGAAAAAGAATAAGTTACATCTGTTAAGATTATATAAAGCAAGAGAAAAATAGGAGAAAGCATGAACATAATGTTTTAATATTATTTAATAGGAAATCAGCTCAAAGAATTAACCAAAATGGCTGAGCTTTGAAAAATAAGTGATCTATAAAAATCCACTTACATTAATATCAATCCTAGCAAATGTTCATAAACAGAGGGTCACACCTTCCTTGAGTGGTTCTTCAGTTCACTTTGGGGTTCCCAAACTGGGTTTCAGATTCTCTGAAGGAATGTCCAGAATGACAAGTTCTATGTGACTCCCTATAATCACTGATTCATCTAGGTGGGGGGAGTCATTCCACAGGTAAATAATCAGAGGACACCCGGGTCACTGTGGGTGCCAGAAAGCTCTGAAGGGGCCATGAGGTCAGAAAATACCCATGCTACCTTCTCTTGTTTGCCACTTAGGGGTTCTGCTGAGCTAGCTGGACACAGTGGAACAATTGATGAGGGTTCTGAAGGTAAAGTTGGCAAGCATGTGCATACACTGCTTGTTGGCTGGTTTACTAGAAAAACAATTTTAAAAATTCTGTTTACATAAAAGTGTATGTGCCCTCATAGTGAGTCAGGAGTCCAGGTAATGGCTTCCTGTCTCACCAGGCTGCAACAACTGATCTCAGACTGCTTTGCATAGGGGTTGATGGGTGACATCAGCCAGGCCTTATCTGGAAAGGTACCTGAAGCTAAGTACCCACCACCTGCCTAGGGATCTGTGCATTTGACCATAATGTATGCACCGGTATGTTAAGATGAAAGTGAAGGCTATTTACACTGGTATTATTTAAATAGGCTTAAGTTGCCAAAGAGAGAACTCTGGTGGCATAGTGACTAAGGCATTTGACTCTAACCAGAAGGGTGGTGGTTCAAACCCACCAGCCACTCCTTGGAAGGAGGGTTGGGCAATCTACTTTCATAGTGATACTGCCTTGGAAACCCAAGGAGGGTTGCTATGAGTCAGATCCAACTTGATGGCAGTGCATTGTGTTGCATTTTGAAGTTGCCAAAGAAGATGGAAGGAATACACAGAGTCACTGTACCAAAAAGAAGTGGCTAACATTCAGCCATTTCAGGAGGTAGCATTGATAGTACTGAAGAAAGAATCCCCTAACTGCACTGAAGACATTGGTGAAAAACAAGGCTTCAGAAATTGATGGAATACCCATTGTAATGTTTCAGCAAACAGATGCAATGCTGGAAGTGCTCACTTGTTATGCCAAGAAGTTTGGAAGACAGCTAGCTACCTGGGCAACCAACTGGAAGAGATGCATATTAGTGCCCATTCCAAAGAAAGGTAATCTGATGGAATGCAGAAATTATCGAATAATATCATTAATATCACATTTAAGTAAAAGTATGCAGACTAGAACATAGTTTAAAAAATGTTGTAGTAGTACATCGATAGGGAACTATGGATTCCAAAAGAATTCCAAGTTGGATTCCAAAGAGGACATGGAACAAGGGATATCATTGCTGATGTCAGATGGATCTTGACTGAAAGCAGATGTGTTAGGCTGGGTTCTCTAGAGAAGCAAAACCAGTAAAGCATATATATATAGAGAGAGAAAGAGAAATTTATCTTAGGAAAATGGCTCACACATTTATAGTAGCTGTCAAGTCCCAAGTTCCTAGATCAAACGCCAACCTGGAGACTTTTCCTGACTCACACAGCTGCAGGTGATGACAAACTCAAGGTTGGCAGGCAGTATACTGGCTGTTGACTCCGATGAATGATGAATCCAGGATCACCAGGCCGAATGGTGGGTTATTTGTTCATGGATAGTTGTAGGCAGCACAACAGGATCCTGATCCACAGAAGAGTGTCTCATTTCCCAGGATGTCCATAAATACATTGGAAGCAGACCACACCCCTAGGGAAACTCACCTCCAACAGATTGGCTGCTCAAAACATATACATCTGATCTCATCATGGGAATAACCCATATCACAACTGCTTAAACTACTCAGAATTGTGGTCCAGCCAACTTGACACACAACTCCAACTATCTTAGCAGAGAATACCAGAAAGAAGTTTTATACCAGAAAGATGTGTTTTATTGACTATGTGAAGGCATTTGACTATGTGGATCATAAAAAATTATGGATAGCATTGCAAAGTATGGGAATTCCAGAACACTTAATTGTGTTCACAAGGGACCTGAATGAAGAGGCAGTTGTTTGAACAGAATAAGGGAATACTGCATGGTTTTAAGAGAGCTCTGGTAGCATAGTGCCTAAGGCACTTGACTGCTAACCAGAAGGCTGGTGGTTCCAACCCACCAGCCACTCCTCGGAAGGTTGGGCAAAAGGAGGGGTCACTATGAGTCAGGTCCAAATTGACAGCACAGAATAACAACAGCATGGTTTTAGGGAGTTGTTGTGGCGTAGTGCCTAAAGCATTTGTCTGCTAACCAGAAGGCTAGCGGTTCAAACTCACCAGCCACTCCTTGGAAGGAAGGTTGAGCAATCTACTCCATAGTGATACTGCCTCATAAACCAAAGAAGGGGTCGCTATGAGTCAGAATTGACTCAACAGCAGTGAATTTGGTTTGGTTTTTGGCATGGTTTTAAGTCAGGAAGGGAGTGCATCAGGGTTGTATCCTTTTACCATGCTTATTAAAACTATATGTTGAGCAAATAATACACAGAACTGGACTATCTGAAGAAGAATGCAGCATCGGGATTGGAGGAAAAATCATTAACCTGCAATATGCAGATGATACAACCTTGCTTGCCTAAAGTGAATAGGACTGGAAGCACTTACTGATGAAGATTAAAGACCACTTTAAGGCTTCACCTTGACTATGGGCCACAATAGTATTTTGGGTCTCCAGGAATTGATGTTCCCAGTTATGGTGCAGTGGATTACTTAATATGGTCTTTCTAGTCCTAATCTTCAAGGAGCTTTGGCAAGGCAGAGGTTAAAGCATTCAGCTGCTAATTAGAAGGTCAGTGGTTTGAACCCACCAGCTGTTCCATGGGAGAAAGATGAGGCAGTCTGCTTTTGCAAAGATTCACAGCCTTGAAAACCCTTTAGAGCAGTTGTTCTCTGTCTTATAGGGTTGCTGTGAGTTGGCAGTCAACTCAACGGCAGTGGGTTGGTTTAGCCATAGACTTTATAACTCCCTCCAAAGGACTCTGTGGGACTATGCAAACATGAGGTGCTTGTGGCCCACCAAAGGTATTAAATAGCTTTCTAATAATGTACATAATGTGCATGGCACCCTTGTGGGGGTGGGATCATGCAAATAAGGTGTATGGAACCCTAATGTGGGGATTGGTCAGTTTTGCCATCCTGCTAGACTTAAAACTGAGCCATTCCAGAGGCAGAAAGAAAGTCTCACTACCATTAAGAAAGAAAAGCCAGGAGTGGAGTGCATCATCTGGGCCTGAATCCCTGCACTGAACCTTCTCAACCTAGGAGACAGAGTTGTAACACTTAGCTGAGATGGCGAGAGACTGTGAGAAGCAGCAGCAGAGAAATGGTGGCACCAGAACTAGGAGACTGGCAGCAGATCGGGCAGGAAACCTGACAAAAGACCTGGCAGGAGACAGCGCAGTAGGCTTCCAGACCCATGGAGCGAGAAAGCTGAGTGCCTTTGGGCAAGAAGCTTGCTGGCAGAGTGAGGTAGAGCTAATTTTGCTAGAGCTGAGTGTCTTTGGTCCTCGGTTTACTGGTGGAGTGGGGTGCCTCTAGGCACTTACTGGCAGAGCTACAAGAGCTTTGTAAGGCTTGTCCGAGCAGGGTAGGGACAAAGAGGCCATGTGGCCAAGAGGCCATGTGGCCAAGAGGCTGAGAGCCAGAGAGAGATATGCAGAGGGATGTGCCTGTGCCATTGCTGAGAAGAGGCTGTCTTGATCGAAGGACTGTATCTGGAGTAGTTTCTGATCCTGAATTGTAACCAGTTACTTCCCTAATAAACTCTATGATTGTTAGTATTCCTTAGAAGCAAGAATGTCCAGACCTTGTCTCTCGTATTTTGGTCATGTTATCTGGAGGGACCAGTCCCTGGAGAAGGATATCATGTTTGGTAAGTAGAGGGTCAGTGAAAAAAAGGAGGACTATCAACAAAGTGGATTGACACAGTGGCTGTGACAGTGAGCTCTCAAACATGGCAGTGACTGTGAGGAGGGTGCAGCACTGGGCAGTGTTTGTTCTTTTGTACATAGGGTCACTATGAGTTGTAACCGACTCAACAGCACTTAACAGCAAGCCATTGGCTTTGTAACTCCCAGAAATGACTGGTTAGGAGTATGCAAATGTGAGGTGCTTCTGGCCCATGAAGGGGATCAGATAGATAGCTTGCTAATAATGTAAAGAATTTGCATGGTACCCTTGAAGGTATGGCACCATATGAATAAGGTGTATAGACCCTAACGTGGGGACCTGTCAGTTTTGTCATCCACTGGGCTTAAAATGAGCTATCCTAGTGGGAAAAGGGGGGACCTGCCTACCACCAAGAAGAAAAGAGACGAGTATAGTGCATCCTTTAGACCCAGCATCCCTGCTCTGGAAACTTCACTGACCCAGGAGACAGAGAGAGCTGTTAACACTGGAGAGATGGCAAGAGATGGTGAAAAGCAGAGAAGCAGAGGCAGCAGAACCAGGTGACTGGTGGTATATGGTGCAGGGGGCTTTCTGGCCCACAGAGCAAGAATGCTGAGCACCTTCAGGCAGGAGGCTTGCCAGTGGAGTAGGGTGCCTCAGGCTACCTGGTGCAGCCAGGTTGGCCAACCTCAGAGCTAGACCTGAGTGCTTTTGGGCCGAGGCTTTCTGGTGGAGTGTGGTGCCTCTGGGTCTTTATCAGCATAGCTAAAAGAGCATTATAATACCTGCCCAAGGAGGGCAGAGGCTGGGCTGGCCGAAGAGGGCCCTTGGGGTGAGGGGAGAGGACAAGGACTAGGAAGAGGCACTTCTGAGAAGAGGCTGTCCAGATCCAAGAACCACATCCCGAGTCTTTTGTGCCTGGATTGTAACCTGTTACTATTCTGTTGTCGTTGTTTGCCATCGAGTCGGCCCCGACTCATAGCGACCCCTCCTTGGGTTTCCGAGGCAGTACCACTACGGAAGTAGGATTGCCCAACCTTCCTTCCGAGGAGTGGGTGGTGGGTTTGAACCGCCAGCTTTCTGGTTAGCAGTCAAGTGCTTTAGCCACTATGCTACCAGAGCTCCTTCTAGTGAATCCATAATCATGAATATGGTCTGGGAGTTCTGTGTGGTGATTATAACAAATTGTTGAACCCAGCAGAGAAGTAGCACCTTGGGGGGACTGGTTAGTGTCAGAAATGATAAAAAGATTGGAGAGTGGAGGCACGTGTCTGACCCCCACCTCATAAGAATCAGCCTTGCGTTGTTGACCTTGAATTTCCTCTCCCCTGTGAATGTCAAGAAGATTAGACCCTGCCCCATGTTATTTTCACATAACCAATCCCCAGATCTTATCTTTACAGGTCTGTCTCCTGTGATCGCTCTCTGTATCAATTCAACCTAAGTCTGGTTCCAATCAGCAGACAGAAGTCAGACCTTGGTTTAGGCAGGAGAAATGTAATATAAGGATGTAAGGAGAACTCTAAAGGATACCTTAAGGTTGATGGAGAGTACCCAAGGAAGGTCAGACTTAGAGGAGGGCTCCCTGCCCAAGATTGTGATTTAGGCCCTGTTGGAAAAGGCATCATTGCAGTCCACTGGATGGTGAAGAAATTCACTGGGTTGTTTGGTCCAGAGTTAGTCCCCAGTCACTAGGCAAGCAGAAAGCAATCTTCTGGGATGCAGACAGGACACAGCCAATTGGCAGATGTGCAGAGGGAATCGGGATGCCACTTCAGTACAAGACCTAGAGCATTAGATGTCCACATCAGGAGGCCATGGGAAATGAGTGTCTGGTGTCCAGATGAGTCGTAGCTGGTGGTTAGGTGCACACAGGGAGTCAGTGTCCTGCTGAGAGGGGAGGTCTTAATAAATATTATCTGAATAAATAAAGGAATAGCCATAAGTAAGAATGTGGAGAGGAAAGTGTCCTAGACCCTTCCAAGTTCCAACAGGGGACATCAGGAATGTCTTAATTAAATAATTTTATTTTTCTCATCTCTGTAATACACAGCAGAGGTTCTTCTTCTGGACATATTTGGGAATAACAACCACAAGAGTTTAGACTATAAGTCACACTGACTAGCATTCAAGAATGACTCAGCATTTCCTAACTTGGTGACATCATGTCAATATCTAATTCTTTTTGAACCTAGGCTTCCTTGGCTATTAAACAATGGGTGGCATAGTGCCTAAGATTTGACTGCTAACCAGAAGGCTGGTGGTTCAATCCCACCAGTGACTCCTCAGAAGGAAGACTGGGCAATCTACTTCCATAGAAATACAGCCTTGAAAACCCAAGGCAGGGTCGCTATGAGTCAGGATTGACTTGATGGCAGTGAGGTTTTTTTTTTTTTTTTTTAAAGCATCATATCCAGTTTGGAGGGTTAAGATAATTGAATGAGATTATATATATAAAGCTTCTAAGAGAATCTCTGCTATATAATGAGTGCTAATTTTTACTTTTAATATTCATATTATATAATATTCTACAATTTTAAATGATCTTTACATATGTAACTTTATCTTCAGTAGAGAGATGGTCAAATAATTATGTTTGATGACTTGTAAGTAGTGCCTGTTAATTCATGATTGTTGTTTTGAGACAGGACTCCAGATACCATTGCACAAAAAGGGATTAAGATAAATTCACCCACTTAAATTCACAAGCTGCTGAGAAAGAACCTTGGAAGCAAGAGAGGGTGTGTTTAGGCAGATTTCACCATCCGCCTCCCAGAGTGGCAACCATGGATATGTTACCTACGTGTGGTAAGTCCTTGTTGATGCTGTTCAGGTAGTCTACTTTAGTTTAGGTATTCTGCTTCTGCACAACACAGCAGGTTTGGTGCTCAGTCATGCTGTGGGCCACCTAAGAGGTGCTGAAGTGGACCAGAGGATGTAATTGTCAGATTCCTAGGGTTGGATATGGAAGGAGCTGTTTAGTGTGGTTTGGGAAGTGCTTCATATTCACATTCATGAATTTTGTCATCTTGGCCAAATTAATAGTTATACTTCTTTGGATTTCAGTTTCTGTACCTATAAAATTTCTGTACCTAGTCACCCTTTCATGAGTCTCAAGATGCAAAATCCCCTTTTATGGCTCCAGGTAAGACAGACTACTCTGGCATTTTAAGAAGTGGTATGTTTGTGGTATGCTGTGTGCATGGCATGGAGCAGTTTCTAGGCATGAGTGTCAGTATTGTGGACCAGGTTAGAATCTCATACTGTCTTTCTTCTCCCTGAGGTCGTCTTTCTCAGGACTCTTTCTGTCTTCATGAGGGGAAATCAAAGGAGGCAAGGATGGTGGCTGGGTTGCTGTCAAATTCTTCTCAGGCAAGTGAGAAGTTGACTTTTTTTCTGGCAGCTAGCTGTTGTTGTTGTTAGGTGCTGTTGAGTGGGACCCGACTCATAGCAACCCCTCCTTGAGTTTCTGAGGCGATATCACTATGTAAGTAGATTGCCCAACCTTCCTTTTGAGGAGCGGCTGGTGGGTTTGAACCACCAGCCTTCTGGTTAGCAGTCAGCTGCCTTAGGCACTATGCTACCAGGGCTCTCCGGCAGCTAGCTATGTCCCCTCATAATGAGTCCAAGCTTCTCAAGGAAACACGATCCTGCTCAAGGACTCACTCCCCACATACATTTTCCCAAGACCAGTGACATCTCATAGTTATACAGGGATTACTCTGGAAATGATCCTGTTTTCTCAGTATTTACTAATTCTTTTTGACTGTCAATCATGCTTGTGTGCTTTTTTCTTTGCTGATTGTTATGTCATACACTAAGGAAGAAGATGAAGTGTCTAATCTCAAGGAATTTGCTCTACTGATATAGAAAGAAATCATCTATTTTGCAGATTTTATAGACTAATGTGCTCAGGACTGGCCACAACTTAGGGAAAGAAGGAACAGCCTAGTTGTGGAGATAAGTTCAGTCATGTGCTAATGCTATAAATTATACATACATGTTATTATATACATAATAAAACCAAGTGACTGCAAGAGATTACCAGGCAGTGTCTATAGATAGAAGAGGTCTCAGCAGTCATTCCTGGACTAGTTAATGGGAAGCCACAGAGCTCTAGGCATCATATTTCCTTTTCTCAATCCCTCATCTGCCTTTCTGTGAACACTAAAGGAGATGGTTCTTGGCTGAAGTAAGCATGTATGTAATGGTTTAGGACTTGGTGACCTTTGACGATGTGGCTGTGGACTTTACCCAGGAGGAGTGGACTTTGCTGGATCAAACTCAGAGAAATCTCTACAGAGATGTGATGCTGGAGAACTATAGGAACTTGGTCACTCTAGGTAAGGCTGACATTGTTAATTCATTAGGAGTCATTTACTCCTTTACAGATTGAATGTTTTTAAAGTACTTGTGTGAGAAATTGGGAATATAGTGGTAAAGGAGACAGAAGTGGTTCCTGTCCTTAATAGGCATTTCCTTCTCCTGGCTTCCCTGTGAAAATGAGGATCTCTCTAAATAAATTATGTTATTTGCCCTATGAATTGCAGATCTAAAGACTTCGTAAATGTATAAAATTTGAAGTATAAGATTAAAGGTTTAGAGGTCCTCAATTCTTTATTAATTGTGCTTATTTATACATCCATCCATAATGTATGTATGTGTGCGTGTATGTGTGTATATATATATAATCCCTCGCCATTTCAACATTCTTCATGTGTACAGTTTAATGACATTAGTTATGATTCTGTTCAGCCATTATCCATTTCCAGATTTTCCCATCACCTTTAACAGAAGCTGACTATGTTCTTAGTAGTGAGTCCCCCTTACCCCCTCTCTTCCACCAGCCCCTGGTAACCACTAATAAACTTTGATCTCTATAATCCTAGACATTTGATATACGTGTAATCATACAATATTTGTCCATTTGTGGATTACTTGCTTCACTCAGCATAATGTTTTCAATATTCATCCATGTTTGAGCATGTATCAGGACTTCATTTTTCTTTATGGGTGAATAACATTCCATACATGTGTATGTGACATTTTGTGTATCTATTCATCTGTTTGTTGACATTTCCACCTTTTGGCTATTATGAATAATGTTGCAAGGAACTTTAGTGTTCATGTATCTGTTTGCATTCCTGCTTTCAATTATTTGATCCCTAATCTTTTTAAGGGACACAGAGAAATTATGTTTGCATTTTTGATCATTTCAAAAAGAATTTCTGGCACTTATTAAAAGTATAGTGTGCTTATTTTGCTGTTTCTGAAGTTGGTCTTGACCATCTTCAGAATCCATAAAGGTTAAAGGTTTGCTTCCTGATTTATGGAAAGGTTTGTTATTTATTGAACTGTCCTTTTCTTTCATTTATCTTTATCCTTCAGCAATATACCACTTATGTAAACCTGGTCTGACTTCTCAAGTGGAAGGCGAAGAGCTGAGAACAGTGGAGAACAGAATTACCCAAAGTGAGTAAACAGACAGATATAAATTACTATGAAGAGTAGTGCTTGTCTGGGAGAGGGCATTACATGTGGAAATGTCCACTGGGGAACATTTTAAAGTGCATTCTTGTCTAGAAAGTTGAGTCCATTTTGTTTCTCATATTCACATGGAGATTCAACTTCCTGTCTTCTTTTTCAACTCTCTGTTCATCTTCTCCCACCACCCATGTGTCAGTTTGTCACACTGTGGTGGCTTGTGTGTTGGTAAGATGCTGGAGCATGCCATCAGTATTTCAAATACCCTGGCAGGGTCACCTGCGGTGGACAGGTTTTATCAGAGTTTGCAGACTAAGACAAACTAGGAAGAAAGGCCTGCCAGTTTATTTCCAAAAATTAGCCCAGGAAAACCATATGGATCACAACAGAATATTGCCCAATATAGTGCTGGAAGATGAACCATCTAGGTGGAAAGACATTCAGAAGACACAGTGGCTGCAACAGTGGATTTGAGGATATTACACAATCATGAAGATTTGGTGTAGGATCGGGCAGTGTTTTACTCTGTTGTACGTGGGGTTGCCATAATTCTGAGCCAACTTGTTGGCAACAACACTCATCATCTCAGGCATTTTCTTGGTCTCAAACAAGTATCTGTGGGATTTTTTTTTCTTTTTTTTTTAATGGATGTCTTTGTCCATTTTTTCCCCCACTTTGTTTCCTTGATAATACCATCTTTCTGTTTATTGTCAATATCATTTCTTACTAAATGATTTTGATATCCTGTAAATAATCACCTCTTAATTTTTCACACCTTGTCCTTATTGCCAAACTCCTGACATAGCCAAATACTTTAAAATTTATTTTTACTTTTATTTAAAACAATTTAAACCATGTTTCAGATGAGTATTTAAAAAAATATATATACATGATCTTTTAACATGTTTATCCCCCACAATTTATTTTTTCAAAACCTTTTTTCTCTATTTTATTTCAGAATTGGACTTGCAACTTAAAACCACAGTGTCAGCACCTCAGCAGGATATTTCTGGAGAAATAGCTCCCAGTGGAAAACAACGAGTAAGATTTTCAAGTTGTGATTTCTTTCTTCCACATAAGTAACAGATGGAATGCCGTAAGAGCAGCAGCACCCAGATCATGGCTTGGAACCAAGGTTGCAGGGGACATCGAGCTCAACTGGCATAACATACTACACAAAAAACATTGTTCCACATCCTACTTTGGCAAGTAGTGATTGTGATCTCAAAAGCTTGCAAGCAACCATCTAGATGCAATGATGGGTCTCTCCTCATCCAGAGCAAAGAACAATGAATATAATCAAAGATGCATGGAAACAGTCCAAAGGACTAGTACACCTGCAATCCTCAGCCTATATGACTATGAGACCAGAAGAACTAGATGGTGCCTGGCTACCACTGTCAGCCACTCGGAGGGGGATCTATGTAGGAGAACGTGGATAGAGTGGGAGAAAAAAACTCAAAATCATATTTAAAAGAAAAAAAAAAGGGACCAGGTTTGCTGGTCTGATAGAGCCTGCTGAAACCCCTGAGACTATGGACCCTAGCTGCTCTTCAGATCTGGAATTAAACCCAATCCTGTGGCTTCCAGCCAAATAAAAGACAGGCAGATGGGCTGAACATTTATATCATGTAGATAAACTCCTTGGAGAGATCAATCACAGGAGAATAGAAGGGCTGTGTATGCATAGGGAGACAGCTCAGGGGGCAGGAGTGTATGTGAGGGAAGGACATAGGGAAGAGGTAACATGGGGAGGAAGTGGGGAGAGAGCATTGCATTGTGGGGAATTGTAGTCAGTGTCATGAGACAAAGTGTATGTGAACTGCTGTATTGAAAATGAATTTGCTCTGTAAACTTCCACCCAAATCACAATAAAAATTAAAAAAATAAAAGAACAGTAGCTCCCAGAGCATGAAAACCATGTGAGGCAAATGGCATTTACCCAAGAGAAAACAAGATCTTTAGAGAGATTGTTTGAATATTATGAATTTGCAGAATACACTACAGTAGCTCAAAATCTGTTTCTTCACAGATAGTTACCACAAGTAAACATCCTCATATATTTTAAAAATTAGATATATTTTTAAACAATTCTTAGGCAGACTCTCTCTAAGCTTTGTGGAGACAGGGACTATAACACGGTCTCTTGACTATATGGTCACATAATTCAACATGAAATAATTAAAAACAAGAGAGTGAAAATAGTAAAATCTTCAGTCATAGTACTATTTTCTATACATAAGAATTGTGATGAGAATGTTTGTAACTGTAATGGATGTGAGAAAGTCTTTACTCATCATTTATCCTTTCATCAACAGGAGAGAAGCCACGCTGGAGTGGAACATTATGAATGTAAACAACTTGGGAAAGCCTTTGGTGAACATTCATGCCTTGAGACTCACATGAGAACTCACATTAGACATAAAGCATATAAGGGTAACCAACATGGAAAAACCTTGAGGAAGAACTCTAGCTGTACTCTGAACAAAAGAACCCATGCTGGGCAGAAACCTTCTGAGGATTATCAATGTGAAAAAGCCTCCAGTTGGCTTCCAAATATTGTGCACAAAAAAAGTCACCCACGAGAAAAACTATATGAATGTAAAGAGTGTGGGAGAGCCTTTGCTAATCAGTCATACCTTAAGGTACATGTGAGAACTCACATTGGAGAAAAACCCTATGTATGTAAGGAATGTGGGAAAGCCTTCACTAATTCCTCACACCTTACAGAACATATAAGAATTCACAGTGGAGAAAAACCCTATGTGTGCAAGGAATGTGGGAAAGCCTTCACTCAATCCTCAGGACTTATGTTACACATCAGAACTCATACAGGAGAGAAACCTTATGAATGTAGAGAATGTGGGAAAGCTTTCACTGATTCCTCAAGTCTTAATCAGCATGTGAGAATTCACAGTGGAGAGAAGCCATATCAGTGTAAAGAATGTGGGAAAGCCTTTACCCAATCATCTGGCCTTACTGTACATTTGAGAACTCACACTGGAGAGAAGGCCTATGAATGTAAGGAATGTGGGAAAGCTTTTACTCGTTCCACAAGCCTTAACATGCACATGCGAACTCACACTGGGGAAAAGCCCTATGAATGTAAGGAATGTGGGAAAACCTTTAGATATTCCACATGCCTTAGTATTCACATGCGAACCCACACTGGAGAGAAACCCTATGAATGTAAGGAATGTGAAAAAGCCTTCATTCAGTCTTCAGCACTTTCTAAACATGTACGAAATCACATGAGAGAAGCTCTATGAATGTAATGTTTGCTCAAAAGCTTTTAATTGCACGTCAATCCTTAATATCCATTTCCAGATTCATGGTGAAAGACCAGTGATCTTCCACAACATGTGAGAATTTAGAGTGAAGAAAATCCCCATTAATACAAGGAATGTGGAAAAGTCTTTATTAATTTTTCATATCTTAGAGAACATGTAAGAACTCATATTGGGGAGAAGCCTTTGGCTTGTAAGGTGTAAGAGAAAGCTTATAATCATTCCACAATGCTTATTTTGTGTATCTAAAATTATGGTAAAACCATGAAGGTAGGGAAAGTGGCACAACTCTTAACTATTTCATGTGCCATAATTCTCATATGAAATCTCAAATTGATGAAAGACTCTATGTATTGAAAACGTGTTAAAGCCTTACTATCCACACAAGAGTTCACAGGAGTAAAACCCTGTGAACATAAGGGTTGCAAGAAAATCATCATTTGTTCTTCATATCTTAATCATGTATGCACTGAGTTGAGAGATACCCTATAAATTTAATGAATGTGAGAAAGTCTTTGGAATCTCCTCACATCATAGCATGTATAAATTCATACGGAAGCTATACAAATGTGAGAAATGTGGAAACCCCTTTACTGAATCCTTGGGTCTTATTAAAAAAGTGAGATCTTGCAGTGGAGAGAAACTGAATGTAAGGTATGTGGGAAAACTGTAGTTTACCAAATACTTTAAACTGTGAACTCCTATAATAGGAGTGAAAAAAACTTTATGATTGTAAAAAATGTTGGAAAATGATCATTTTTTTTATTTGATTGCTCATCATCCTTTAGTAAACATGGAAAAAGTCACACTCAAGAGAAACTGTGAATATAGGTAATATAGGACATGCTTTCCTAAGTCCTGAAATCTGCTGACAAACACATGGCTTTCTAGTCATTATATATATGTTTTCAGTATTCATGGTTCTTCCCTAATCATTCTCGTCTATAGGCACCATTCTTTCTACTAACAGCAATGCTAGGGACCTACAGGAATTACACTTAATCCTATTTCAGCCACCTGGATTCTCTGTTGCATTGACATAGTTTTAGATAATGAAGGGGTCATAGGTGGTGCAAATAGTGAACATGCTCAGTTGTTAACCAAAAGATTGGACATTCAAGTCCACCCAGAGGCACCTTGGAAGAAACCCTGATAATCTAATTCCAAAAAAATCAGCTATTGAAAATGTTATGGAGCACAGTTCTATTCAGATACATGGGGTTGCCATGAATTGGTGAATTCAGCAGCAACCAGTGGTGGTATGTAGTGAAGGCAGTGATCACTTGATTGCATATACTTCACTCCAGGTCTATCCACAGTGGCTCACACTGGCTAAAGTATGGAATATAATACATCTCTGTAGATTTTGTAAATTTGTCCATGTCCCTGTTTTGCACCTGAAACTTCTGAATGAAAGGCCATAGTATGAACAGAGGATGAGTTGAGAAAAAGAGAGGTTATACCTACTGATATGAGACTGATTTTGTGGCCATGGAGGGAGAGCAACAATCCCAACACCTAGGGAGGCATGCCTTTGACCTTGGGCTGTGTAATGAGGGAGGGGAACAGTGAATGCTGTCTTTGACTACTAGATCCAGCACCATAGCCTGGAAAAGCAGTTATTTGTGTGCTGATTCAGGCAACTGTGTGTCTGGCAATATGATCATCTGCTGTATTTGTCATTCCTCTCTACATGCTGTGAGAACAGAAAAACATGGACATGGCTGCTCCTGATACTCAGTTGTGACTGACACCATCACTGGCAGCTCCTGATGTCATCATTGGCTCCGAAATACTGAAGAGCCCAACCTTATTTCAACCTGAGTGATGCAAACTCAATTACTGATACCTGAGAAGCTTTGAGTTATTTATGGTGACCAGAGTTGCAATTGCTTGGTGACACTGTCTTTGGGACTTAATCAAACCAGTGTAATAGTGATCCAAATCAAGCTTAAGAAGAGATTCTGATCAGGAGTGACCTGTGTCCTTTGAAAATGTTACATGTTTTTATGTAGTGGAGAGTGGGTCCCAAGATGGCTTTCTTTTGGGGATGGGAGTTGCTGTATAAGCCCTCTGTTGCACCTTTTAATTATTGGCAGTGAGCCCAAGGATCAGCAGATTAGTCTCATTCCTTTATGTTGATTGTAATGAATAAGATTGGCCTCAGACTGTAGCCTGATTGTCTGAAATCAAGACCTACTAACACTTGCTAGGACTTACTCACAGTTGTTAGGGGAGCTTGTAGTTGTGGTCAGCACTGCAGGTTGGTCTCGTTTTGCTGTTTGGATCCCTAGTGACAGTAGCTTTAATAAATGCATGAGTTTAGTTGAATGGATTTGGTCTGAGCCTCTGTTCAGATTAATCACTGACTGATGGAGTGACATATTAATGTGAAATTTCATCAGAAATCAAGTAATACAGACTGGGTTATTGGGATACATTTCTCCATGGGTCTCATACTCCTACACATCTTGCTGAGCATACCAGGAATTCAAGATCCTGCCTGCTCCTTCCTTGGGTCATTTTTCAGGGCTGTGTGTGCAGTGAGCAACCTTGAAAGATGAGATAATTTCTCCCTTTGGGACAAAGAGCAGGCTTCAAGTGCCCTAGTCTCCATCTCTCTCCTGTTAACACAATCCAGTGCATATACAGGCATCATCTTGGGATTGCTTCCGAGGAACTAGGAGGCAAGGGAAATCAGTGCAAACATGCTGATACAGACTGCTGTAAATTTCAACTGTTGTGGTAAAGTCCATGATGTAGTGAAGTCTTTTGTCTCTGAATCCAGTCTCAAATCCTCTGCCAGCTCCCATGAAACAGTCACAGGTAACTTACTAGCTTTCAAGTAGATAGAATCAAATTTCAGGTCCAGCACTTTTGGCAATGTAGATGACATGCTGACAGAAACACGGGTTTCCTGAGGAAGGGCAAGGGCTGCTTGGGCCAGGTTCAGAGATGTAAGACACCCGGAAACCAGCAATGAACTCTTGCCATGAGGAGGGGAGTAAGGGTCCACTAGTGTCATGCCTATTCATGAGGCTGAGTGCCAAATGCTAAGATTGAAACAAGTCCTCTAAGTGGCCCCTTGGTGGTTCATGCTCCTCTGAGTGGGTGTAGGAATGGATGTTATTCTAATACTGGAACCCAAAGCCCTGCTGTGAAAAAGCATTGTGCCTGTGGCTGCTGGGCCAAAACACCCGCAAAGCTGAAACAAATGGCGTCAACCACAAGAACCTTTCTGTTTGATGGACAGCTTTGTGGTTGTTAGTTGCCACTGAGTTGGCTCTGACTCACGGTGACCTTATGTATAACCACAAAATGTTGTCGATTCACCATCCTCAGGATCATTGGTATGCTGATGCCCTTTGTTGGGACTGCTGTGTCCATTGCATCGAGAGTTTCTATAGTTTTTGATTTATGTGAACTGAAAGCATTAGGAGTTTGGTTGAGCTGTGAGTGAGTGAGCACCTCGAAAATAAAAGTGAATGTAATCATTAGTCTAGAGCTGCTCTCTCCTTCCATGTCTATGAAATCTCTCTGTCCCTAAGTGTTTTGTTTGTTTGTTTTTTAAAGGCATATGTATCTAGTGGGTATCCTGGAAAACTTCAGGGAAGGAGGGACTCAAATGTTTATGGCTGTTCTCTTGAAGAATGGGAATTTCACAACATTTACTGTGCTCATGCAGAACCTGTATGTGGATCAAGAGATGGTAGTTCAAACAAAACAAGGAGGATACTGCATGATTATAAACTGAAAAAGGTATGTGGCAGCATTGTATTTACCTTGTTCACATCTATATGCAAAAAACAAAAAACAAAAAACAAAAAAAAACCAAAACCCAAAAATAAACTGAGCTATAAGAAGTACATGACATCAAGAATGGGAAAAACCTCATTAACAACTTGAGATATGCAAATGACACAACTTTAATTACTGTAGTGAAGATGAGTTGAAGCTCTTACTGGTGAAGGTAAAAAAACAAACAAACAAACAAAACTACAGCCTTCAGTATAAATTACACCTGAATTTAAAGAAAATGAAAATTCTTATAACTGGGCAAATAACATCATGACAGGAGCTCTGGTAGCTTAGTGCCTAAAGCATTTGACTGCTAACCAGAAGGCTGGCAGTTCAAACCCACCAGGTACTCCTCGGAAGGAAGGTTTGGGCAATCTACTTCCATAGTGATGTTGTTGTTATGTGCCGTGGAGTCGGCCCTGACTCATAGCGACCCCTCCTTGGGTTTCCGAGGCAGTATCACTACGGAAGTAGGATTGCCCAACCTTCCTTCCGAGGAGTGGCTGGTGGGTTTGAACCACCAGCCGTCTGGTTAGCAGGCAAGTGTCTTAGCCACTATGCTACCAGAGCTCCCTCCATAGTGATACCACCTCAGAAACCCAAGGAGGGGTTGCTATGAGTCAGATCCAACTCAACAGCAGTGAGTTAGTGAAATGGTGATGAAATTGATGTTGAGGGTTTCATTGTCCTTGGATCCACAATAAATCCCTATGGAAGCAGCAGTCAAGAAATCCAATGTATTGCATTGAGCAGATCAGCTGCAAACTACCTTTTTAAAGTTTCTAACAAAAAGAAAGCTGTTGCTGAGCCTGCATTCTAGTAGGGAGTGGAGAGAGAGACAATAAACAAACAAATAAATGTTGGGTAGTGATGTTGTTGTTGTTAGATGCTGTCGAGTCATCCCCAATTCATAGCAGCCCTATGTGCAGCAGAACAAAACACTGTGCAGTCCTGTGCCAGCTCCACGATACTTGTTATACTTGAGGCTATCACCACAGCCACTGTGTCAATCCATCTTGTTGAGGGCCTTCTCATTTTTCATTGACCCTCCACCTTACCAAGCATAACCTCCTTCTCCAGGGAATGAGCCCTTCTGTCATGACCAAGGTGGGTGAGACGAAGTCTGGCCATTTTCGCCTCCAAGGAGCATTCTGGCTGCACTTCCCCCAAGACATATTTGTTGGTTCTTTTGGCAGTCCATGGTGATTTCGGCATTCCTTGCTGGCACCACAACTCAAAAGCATCAATTCTTCCTTGGTCTTCCTTATTCATTGTCCAGCTCTCATGTGCATATGAGGCAATTGAAGATACCGTGGCTTGAGTCAGGTGCACCTTGGTCCCCAGGAAGACATCTTTGCTCTTCAGCACTTGGAAGAGGTCCTTTGCAGCTGATTTGCCCAGTGTTATACATCGTCCGATGTCCTGACTGCTGCTTCCATTGGCCTAACTTCTATGCCTATGGTTATAATTCCATTTGGGAATGGGTTGTCTTTTTTATGTTAATGAGGTAGGAGTAGTGTATGGTGTCTTGTGAGATATAAAAGATTAATCAAGCAAAGTAAAAAGCAGATGATGTAAAGTAGATGTGAAGACACATGGGATCTGCAAGGAACCAGGAAGTAGAAACTGAACTGTCAGACAAGGACATTCTTCCAAAGCTGAGAGAGGGGAAGTTTTCTTCTAGAACTGGGGCTCTGAATTTGGAATTCTAGCTTCCTAAACTTTGAGACAATGCCCTGCTACTGTTCATAAGATTTTCAGTGACCAATTTTTTAGAAATAGATTTCCAGGTTCTTCTTCCTAGTCTGTCATAGTCTGAAAGCTGCACTGAAACCTGTCCACCATGAATGACCCTGATTGTACTGAAATACCAGTGGCATAGCTTCCAGCATCACAGCAATATACAAGGCACCACAGTACCAGAAACTGACCGACAAGTGGTGGTAGTTTACCCTCACCATTGGTCCTGTGATAAAAAAGACAAGAAGGAAAGAAAAGACCAAAATGGATGTTGGAAGAAACTCTGAAACCTGCTTTCGAACATAGAATAGCTAAAGTGAAGGGAAGAGATGAAGTAACAAAAGCTGAAGAGATTTCAGTGGGTAGCTAGAAAAGACAAAGTATAAAATGTGCAAAGACCTGGATTTAGAAACCAGAGGAAGAACATTCTCAATATTTCTCAAGCTGAAAGAACTGAGGACAGAACTCAGGGCTCGAGTTGCAATACTTGAGGATTGTATGGGAAAAATATTGAATGATGCAGGAATCATACAAAGAAGATGGAAAGAATGCAGAGTCACTGAACCAAAAAGAATCAGTTGAGATGCAGTCATTTCAAGAGGTAGCAAATGATCAAGAACAGATGGTAGAGATGGAATATGTCCATCCTGCACTAAAGATGATGGCAAAAAAAAAAAAAAAAAAAAAGCCTCCAGATAGTCCATCATTGGAGGTTTTCCATGGGATGAGGGTGGCCGAGATCATGCTGTTGGGCCAGGACAGTACCTTTTGACCTCACACCACCCCCTTCAGATGCATGGCTTCACCTGGACAGGGAGGGGCATGAGGTGGAAAAAGGTGAAAACGTTCCTCAAAGGCAGGGTTCAGGCCTCTAGAGTTTAATTTCCTTCTAAAGCAAGGCAACAGATATCTCCCTTTTAGAAAATGCTGAAGATTAACTGTGTTAATGGTAATTGAGTTAATTTATGTAAAATACTGCTTGAAACATATGCATTCCTGTCCACTCAGCTCAGATCCATAGGGACCTTTTGTATAACAGAATGAAATGGTGTGATTCTGTGCTGTTGTCATGCGCATTGGTATGTATGAGCCTTCTGTTGTGGTTACTGTGTTAGTGCATCATCTTGAGGGTTCCCTTCCTTTTTGATGATCCTCTACTGAATGTGATCCTTTTCTAGCAATTGCTCTTTCCTGATACACAGCAAGCAATGTTTTTCATCTTAAAAAAGGAAAAGAGAAAAGCAACCCTGTGTGGTAAAAAATTATACAAAGTATTTCCTTAATGATTGGAATGTCTCTGATGTTCATCAAGGACTCCAGAGCACATCATACAGTCTATCCCAAGGTGATTCAAGTGTGGGACTCAAAAGATCCACCATGTTACATAAGCACTACCTCCAGGGAAGAGACAGGGCTGGAGACTGAGTTCAGTCATATGATCAATGATTCCATTCATTGTGCCTTCATAATAAAACAGCCATAAAAGCTCTGGATATTGACTCTCCTGGTTGGTGAAAGACATGTATGGGAGGAGGGAGTGTGTAAGGCATATTTGAGAAATGGGGCCTATGAGATTGAGACCCTCCCAGATCTCATAATGTGCAGCTCTTTCATATGCAAATCATGATTTTTATTCCTTTTACCATATTAAAACTGCCATGGAGAGCATCATTCTAGCAAACTACTGAACCCAAAGAGAGAAATCCTCATGATTTAGTCACTTACTCAGAAGTCCAGGTGGCCCCAGAATACCCCATACACGTGGTTGGTGGGCACCCTTGGCAATGGAGAGGACTGTGCCCTTTAAGTTTTCAGATCAGATCTTCCTCTGAGTGGAATTTGCTGTTAGTATAAGAAAAGACTAAAGAGTTGGCATGTGAAGCAGACAGCTATTTTAAGTTCCTGGCAGAGAAGGGGAGCAAGTTGGGCACCAACAAGTAAGACTTGGTGTTGTTAGAAAGCAGTTTGTCACTTATAGAAAACCAGTAAATTGCAAAACCATGCTTTGCCCATTGTCCTGGTGGTCAGTTTATTGCTTCTGTTGTAGAGCCCGTCTGCCTGCTCCCTGATAACAGAACTGGGCCATACATTTTTCCTTTACAAGTTATCAGTGTAGGAAAAGCAATAAAGGACATGACATTTAGAAGAGCTTTCCATTTCTGGTTCCAGTGTGATCATCCACCAGGCTCCTAGAGGGTACTTTGGTCCCTACTTTGCTACATTTGGCTTCTCCAGCACAGGGTTCCTGTAAGCACAGCATTTGGATGTTGGGAGCTTGCTTCAGCTCTCAATTTGGACAGTGGTAGAAGAGCAAACCTCCATTTGCTAATGTGGTATGACTGAAATTGAGAAATAGCTGCAAACATCCATTAATAACTGGAACATGGAATGTATGAAATATGAATCTAGGAAAATTGGAGGTTGTAAAAAACGAAATGGAATGCATAAAGATTGATATCTTAGGCATTATTTAGCTGAAATGGACTGATTTCAACCATTTTGAATGACAACCATATGATCTATTATGATAGGAATGACAATCTGAAGAGGAATGGCATGGCATTCATCATCGCAAAGGATGTTTCAAGATCTGCCATGAAGTACAATGCTGTCAGTGATAGGATAATATCCATACGCCTACAAGGAAGATCAGTTAATAAGACTATTATTCAAATTTATGCACCAACCACCAAAGCCAAAGATGAGGAAATTGATAATTTTTATAAACATTTGTGGTCTGAAATTGAGCGAATGTGCAATCAAGATGTGTTAATTATCACTGGTGACTGGAATGCAAAAGTTGGAAACAAAGAATCACCAGTACTTGGAAAATTTGGTGACAAAAATAACACTGGAGATCGCATGATAGAATTTTGCAAGACCAATGACTTATTTATTGCAAATACCTTTTCTCAACAACACAAACGGAGGCTGTACATGTGGACTTCACCAGATGGAACACACAGGAATCAGACTGACTACATCTGTGGCAAGAGGTGATGGAAAAGCACAGTATCTTCAGCCAAAACAAGGCCAGGAGCTGATTGTGGAACATACCATCAACTGGTCATATGCAAGTTCAACTTGAAGTTGAGGACAATTAAAATAAGTCCCCGAGAGCCAAAATATGACCCTGAATATATCCCTCTTGAATTTACAGACCATCTAAAGAATAGATTTGATGCACTGAACACCTGTGACTGAAAACTGGAAGAATTGTGGGATGACATCAAGAACATTATCCATGAAGAAAGCAAGAGGTCATTAAAAAGATGAGAAAAGAAAAACCAAAATGGATGTCACAGGAGACTCCGAAACTTGCCCCTGAACGGAGAGTAGCTAAAGCAAATGGAAGAAATGACAAGATAAAAGAGCTGAACAGAAGATTTCAAAGAGCAGCTCGAGCAGACAAAAACAATTACTATAATGAAATGTGCAAAGACTTGGTGTTAGAAAACCAAAAGGGAAGAACATGCTCAGCATTTCTCAAGCTCAAAGAACTGAGGAAAAAAATTAAGCCATAAGTTGTAATACTGAAAGATTCTATGGGCAATATATTAAATGATGAAGGAAGCATCAAAAGAAGATGGAAGGAATACACAGTCACTGTACCAAAAACAAACAAACAAACAAACAAAAAAAACCTGGTCGATCTTTATCCATTTCAGGAGGTGGCATATGATCAAGAACCAATGGTACTGAAGGAAGAAGTCTAAGCTGCACTGAAGGAATTGGTAAAGAACAAGGCTCCAGGAATTGATGGAATACCCACTGAGATGTTTCAACAAACGGATGCCCCACTGGAGGCACTCACTTGTTTATGCCAAGAGATTAGGAAGACAGCTACCTGGCCAACTGACTGGAAGAGATCCATATTTGTACCCATTCCAAAGAAAGGTGAGAAGCCCCAAGATTAACAAGTAAAAAGGCACAGTCCTGATGTTACCAGACCACGCAGCAGGCCATTAGCTTAAATCCATTGTAAGTCCCAAGATTGGCAGAGCATGGCAGGCTGCTGAGCAATGACACCACTACATGCAGAGTCCAAGCATGCCATAGGCTAGAGACCATTCTCAAAGCTTCTCCTTATATACAGGAAGCAGACCATATACCCAAAGGCAGCTACCCAGCTGCTTGTGGTAGATCCCACCATGCAGCTGATTGCCACTCTCCTCATGGGGATTAACTACCACCAGCTGCCCAGCTACTCAACCAGGCCCAGCCAAGTTGACACACAAACCAAACTACCACACGTGTCAAGGAACTACCAACCCAAATGTCCTCTCCTGAAGGCAGAGGCAAACAGAAGTGTGCTATAGTATGTAAAAAGCAGGCTTTCCAGATTCCACTAGCAACTGATATTATACATTGCTGGTGGGACATAAAACGGCACAACCCTTTTCAGAAACAAATTAGAAATTTCCTATAAAGGTAGTCATACAACTACCATGACACAGCAATCCTACACAGAGGGATATAGATGAGGAAAAATGAAACCTTATGTTCACATGAAACCCTGTGCATAAATATTTACAGCTGATTAACAACAACAAAAACTAGAAAAGCAAATATTTTCACCTGCTGTGGAACATATACGAAACAAAAATACTACTTAACAATAAAAAGAAACTATTGATAAATTCATCTACATGGATTTATCTCAAATTCAATACAATAAAGGAGATGATCTGAAAACTACAAACTATATGACATGTATAGGGACAAAAGCAGGAGCTCTGGTGGCGTAGTGCCTAAGACATTTGACTGCTAACCAGAAGGCTGGCAGTTCAAACCCACCAGCCACTCCTTGGAAGGAAGGTTGGGCAATCTACTTCCGTAGTGATACCACCTCGGAAACCCAAGGAGGGGTTACTATGAGTCGGATCCAAATCCAAGGCAGTGAGTTGAGGGACAAAAGCTAGGATGCATGAAAGAAGGTTTGACTAAAAAATGGCAGCACAAGGGGTTTATTGGGAGTGAAGTGGAGAGCTGTAGTGCATTTTCATTGTGGTACTGGTTATATGACTTGATGTATTTGTCAAAACTCATATTAATGGACATTCCAAAAGCAAACTGTTAAAAAGTTTCAATTTAGGAAGCATCAAAAGGAGTAAGAAAATTACTTACTTCTGTCTTTGGGATTGATTGATCTCTGTGAATGTTCTAAGATGGAACTTCTCTACAGGCTGATTTGTCTCCATATATAAAATTTAAATAAAACTGCCAACATCTGTACACACTATTTCATACCCTATAACACATTAAACTGCTTCTCCTCCTGTGGACTAAATTTTTGTGATGAAATTCAATTAGTGGTAGTACAATATTGTGACCCGTGTTGTAGGTGCCACTGCTTTGGTTCCAACTCATAGTGATCCTGTGTACACAGAATGAAACATCTTCTGGTCCTGTGTTATCCTCACAATTACTGTTGTGCTTGAGTCAATCCGTTCTGGTTACCTAGTGCCACTCTGACAGGAGTGTACCACAAATAGGATGGTGTTATCAAATAGGAGTTTATTCTCTTACAGTTTGGGAGGCTTGAAGTCCAAGTTCAAAGTGCCAGGCTCTAGGGGCTGGGTGAAAGTCCCTTGACCTTGGGCTTCAGCTCTGCCTCTTGTTCCTGGCCCACTGAAGCTAGAGGCATCTCTTTACTCAGGCAACTACTGGCTGCTGAGGCTAACAAGCCCAAGGTCAACAAATAAAATGGCATGTTACCAAACCACACAGCAAGCTATTAATTCAAGTCCATTGAAAGTCCCAAGGTCAGGAGAGCATGGCAGGCTCCTGAACAACGACACAGCTACATGCAGGGTCCAAGCGTGCCATAGGCTAGAGATCATGCCCAAGGCTTCTCCTTATATACAGAAAGCAGACCACATCCCAAAGGCAGCTACTCAGCTGCTTGTGGTAGATCCCACCATGGAGTTGATTGCCATTTTCATTATGGGGAATAAATACCACCAGCTGCCCAGCCAACCAAGTTGATATACAACTTCAACTACCACAATTTCACCTCTTGTCAGCTTGGCACCTGTACAGATCTTCAATGGGTAGCATCTGTACAGATGTCTCTCACTGGGTGACTCCAGTCCCCTAGTTCCTCTAAGTGGCAACCTCACCCCCTTGGCCTGGAGGGCCCTATTCCTCTACCTCTTGGGCATGGCAGCCCCGCCCCCTCACTCTTGGGCAGCAGCTGTGGCTCCATCCCATTAACTCACATGAACGAGCAGCCCCACACTCCAGAATCAAGTTGGTGAAGGTCTGGCTTTTTGAAACCTAGGGGGCTGTGGTGGTTCCATCCCCAAAGGCCATGGTCCTACCCTTTCAGGCTGAGGCAGCTCTGCTTCCTGTTTCCTTGGTCTCTCAGCTTCTGCTGATTAATGTGAAAGGCAACCCACTCCACTGGAATTCTTCCCGCCCCAAAGCACTCAGCTTTCTTGCTCTGTGGGCCGGCCAACCTGCTACTCCATTTCATGCCAATCTTTTATACCAATTAATGCCTGAAAGCAATCCACTCTGCCAGGAAGCCACCTACCCAATGGTACCCAGCTTTCTCCTCCCTGGGTTGGTGTTTAATGCCAGTCTATGGGCTCTGCTACTGCTCTCACACTGGTCTCTCTGCCAGTTTCTTGGTTCTGCTTCTGTTGTCTCTAATGCCGCATGCCAGGGTCTTGGATCAAGGACACACTCCACTCCTGTTTCCATATTTTATGTATCTGTCAGAGCAGCACCCCACTCTCTTGGTACCACATTCTGCTCTGGTTATCTAGTGCTGCTCTGACAGGAGTATACCACAAATGGGATGGCCTTATCAAATAGGAGTTTATTCTCTTACAGTTTGGGAGGCTAGAAGTCCGATTTCAAAGTGCCAGGCTCTAGGGGCTGGGTGAAAGCTCCATGACCTTGGGCTTCTGCTCTGCCTCTTGCTCCCGGCTCACTGAAGCTAGAGGCATCTCTTCACTCAGACAGCTACTGGCTGCTGAGGTTAACAAGCCCAAGGTTGGCAAAATGGCACAGTCCTGATGTTACCAAAGCACACAGTGGCCATTAATTCAAGTCCATAGAAAGTCCCAAGGTTGGCAGAGCATGGCAGGCTGCTGAACAATGACACTGCTACATGCAGGGTTCAAGCGTGCCATAAGCTAGAGGCCATTCCCAAAGCTGTTTCTCACATATGACAAGTGGACCACAACCCTAAAGCAGCTACTTAGCTGCTTGTGATAGACCCCACCATGGAACTGATTGCCAATTTCATCATGGGGAATGTGGTAGTTCAGTTTGTATGTCAACTTGGCTGGGCCTGGTTGAGTGGCTGGGGAGCTGGTGGTAGGTACTCCCCATGATGAGACTGGGAATCAGCTCCATGATGGATCTACCACAAGCAGCTGAGTAGCTGCCTTTGGGATGTGGTCTGCTTCCTGTATATAAGGAGAAGCCTTGGGGATAGTCTTTAGTTTATGGTGCCTCAAACCCTGCATGTAGCTGTGTCATTGTTCAGCAGCCTACCATGTTCTGCTGACCTTGGGACTTACAATGGACTTGAATTAATGGCCTGTCATGTGATTTGGTAATATCAGGACTGTGCCTTTTTACTTGTCAATCTTAGCCTTAGCAGCCTCAGCAGCCAGCGGCTGTCTGAGTGAAGAAAAGCCTCTGGTTTCAGTGGGCTGGGAACTGGAGGCAGAGTTGAAGCCCAAGGTCGAGGGGCTTTCACCCAGCCCCCAGAGCCTGGCACTTTGAACTTGGACTTAAAGCCTCCAAACTGTAGGAGAAGAAACTCCTGTTTGTTAAGGCCATCCCATTTGTGGTATATTCTTGTCAGAGTGGTACTAGGTAACCAGAACAGGGAATAACTACCACCAGCAGCTGACCCACTCAACCCAAGCAAGTTGACACACAACCTTAACTACCACACCATCATTGCAGCCACTATGTCAATCCATTTCATTGTGGGTCTTCACCTATTTTGCTGACCCTCCTCTTTGCCAAGCATGATTAGCCTTCTCCACAGACTGATCCCTTCTGATAACAAGAATGTATGAAGGATGATTAAGGACATGGAAGTTAGAAGAGATTTCCATGGATGAGGTATTTTTATGGATTGCAGAGTTAATAAAACACAGGTAGCATCTTTCTGGTAGTCTTTGCTTTCAGGCAAGTTCCACCTGACATTAGCATTAATATCCCTCATCCTATGCTGTTCTCTTAATCTGTCTTGAATTTCTGGCAGTTTACTTTCATACTGTTTTTTTTTAATTGACTTCAACCAAACTTTACTTATGAGTGATATTGATAGTGTTCAATAATTTCCACATTTTGTTGGATCACCTTTATTTAGAATGGGCACAGATATGGATCTCCTCTAGTTGGCCAAGTAGCTGTCTTCCACATTTCTCGTCATACACGAGTAAGCGCTTCCAAAGTTGCAACCATTTATTGAAACATGTCAATGGCTATCCCACTGTGACTGATGGTCAGGTATTTATCTTAAAACCCCTTCCTGTTGCACACTGAAACTATTTTCCCTCTTTCCACAGTCTAGCAACTATTATCAAAGTACACAAAGTATGTTGTCCAGGGACTTCCATAGAAGTACTGTATAATAGGTGGCCTTATTTGAGACCTGTTACCTACAGCCACCATTCCCCAAACCCCTTATATGAGAATTCATGAAGATGGTTCCAGTTCACATGTGGCAAAGGAGTTCTGTATATATCCCCAGGCCCTGTAGGAGGCACACACTGGTTGAGAAGCCACCAGTCCAGTCCAGTCCAGCAACTGCAGCCTCAACTTCTGCCTCAGTGCACTCTCCTGGAACCACAAAATTATCAAAAGCAGGACTGTTTCAAAATAATAGATTTTGTGCCGGTGATGGACAGAAGCTTCATTACATCTATGTCAGGTTATAGGTCCGTGCAGGCTCTCCATCTCAATGAATCCCCAATGGTACTTTCCACAGCACCATTTCACAAGGACATTTTTGCAAAATGGTGGGATTTGAATGAAAGTATTCTATGCAGTTTCCTGATTATTAAACCAGGGATCATAGTCGTTATTCAGGGTAAATAAGCAATACTTTTTTTTTTTTCTAAAATACTACATGCACTGTATAATCTAGATGTTTGTAGAAAACATTGGTTTGCACACAAAGAAGGCTGCAAGTCCCAAAATAATGAGATAGTGGTGGTGTTCTGAGTTGTTTATTTTCCAAAAATTTTCTGTTAAAATCAAGTATTTCAACAATGAGCAAATACTGCTTTATAATGTAGAAAAAGATAAAAAACGTTTAAAAAAGGATAGATGATTAAAAGACACAAGTTTAAGACACTGAAGTTTGATGAAATTTTGTAACATAAGTTTTATATAATGGAATCAAAATCACATTTTAACACTTAACCAAATTCATTTGGTACAAGAGAAAGGATGCTTTGCTTACAGCTGCAGTCTCTCCAGTGTGTGAGGTTTCATAGATGTCCTAAGGATAGATGGATAATGAAGGCTTTTCTTATCTTTTACATTCGTAAGATCTCTTCACAGTGTAACATGTCATAGGTTGCCTAACAATATACCAAAAGACCTGTGAGTATTTCCATGTTCCTTACATTTGCATGATTTTCCTCCAGTGTGTCTTCTCACACATCCAACAGGATTGAATCTTCACATCTTGGGAAGTACTGGGGGGCTAGTAGGGGAAGTAAAAACTCTCTCACATTGCATACCTTACAGTTACATAGTTTCTCTCCCATGTGTTCTCCCTCATGTTTGAAAAGATGAGGATGATGGAAAGCTCTCCAACATCATGTTGTTTCTCTGGAGTGTAACTTCTTCAGAAAGCTGGGGTAACACTTTCTCTAACTGCCTATATTCATAATGCCTCTCTCTACTGTAAGTTCTTATATACTTCCTGAGTGATGACAATTAAAGGCTTCCCCAGATTACTTACATTTATAAGGCATCTCTCCACTATGGGTTTTCGTATGTATAGTGAGGCTTGAGAAATCACCAAAGTATTTCCCACATTCTTGACAGTCTTAAGGCCATTCTCCACTGTGAGCCCTTATGTGGTTGATGAGGTGTGGGGACTGAGTAAAGGCTTTTCCACATTCTTTGCATTCATAAGGCCGCTCTCCACTGTGAATTCTGAAATGTTTAGTGAGGGATGAGGCACAACTAAAGGCTTTCCCGCATTCTTTACATTCATAAGGTCTTTCTCCACTGTGGGTTCTTGCATGTGTGGTAAGATTCCCGAGATCACGAAAAGATTTCCCACATTCCTTAGTTTATAAGGCTGCTCTCCACTGTGAGTTCTTTTATGTATACCAAGAGATGAGAACTTACTAAATGTTTTCCCACATTCCTTACATTCATAAGGCTTCTCTCCACTGTGAGTCCTTATATGGTTGATCAGGTGTGAGGACTGGCTAAAGGCTCTTCCACATTGCTTACATTCAAAAGGCCTCTCTCCACTGTGAGTTCTTATATGGTTAGTGAGGTGTGAGGACCGGTTAAAGGTCTTTCCACATTCCTTACATTGGTAAGGCCTTTCTGCACTGTGAGTTCTTGTATGTTTAATGAGGGACGAGGAACAACTAAAGGCTTTTCCACATTCCTTACATTCATAAGGTCTCTCTCCCGTGTGAGTTCTTTCATGAAGTTTGAGGGATGAGGACTGACTAAAGGCTTTCCCACATTCCTTACATTTGTAGGGCTTCTCTCCACTGTGAGTTCTTATATGTGTAGTCAGGGATGAGGCAAAACTAAAGGCTTTCCCACATTCCTTACATTTGTAAGGCCGCTCTCCACTGTGAGTTCTTTTATGGACAGCTAGCTTTGAAGATTTGTTAAATGCTTTCCCACATTCCTTACATTGATAAAGCTGCTTTTCAGTGTGAGTTCTTTTATGATTACTGAGGGATGAGGACAGACGAAAAGTGTTTCCACATTCCTTACATTTATAAGGCCTCTCTCCACTGTGAGTTCTTAAGTGTGTGGTGAGAGATGAGGCACAACTAAAGGTTTTCCCACATTCCTTACATTCATAAGGCCGCTCTCCACTATGAGTTCTTGTATGTGTAGTGAGGGATGAGGGACAACTAAAGACTTTCCCACATTCCTTACATTCATAAGATCTCTCTCCAGTATGAGTTCTTTTATGATTACTGAGGGATGAGGACTTACTAAAGGCTTTCCCACATTCCTTACATTCATAAAGCCTCACTCCACTGTACATACCTTTATGTTTATGGAGGGATGAGGTATTTCCATATTCCTTATGATCATAAGGTTGCTTTTCACTTTGAATTTTTTTATGTTCAATGAGGACTGAGAGCTGATCAAAGCCTTTCCCAAATACGTTACATTCATAAGGTCTCTCTCTACTGTGAGGTCTTGTATGTATAATGAGGGAGGAGGAACAACAGGTGATGTCACATTCCTTACATTTATAAATTTTCTTTCCAGTAATAGTTTTTACATGAGTTCTTAGGTAAGAGGGACAACTGCAGGCTACTCCATGTTCCATACACTGAAAGGAGCTGCATCCAGCGTCAGATCTGATGTGATGTTTAAATGAAGAATGATTCGTGAAAGCTTTCCCACACTCATGGCATTTGGAAAGATTTTCTCTAGCCAGAGTTCTTCTGAGCCTGGTATGAGATGCAATCTTGCAGACAGGGTTTCCACACTGATTACCTTCTTTCCTTGCCTCGAATTTCCCTTTACTTTCACGGAGGTTGACAGCTATATGCCATCTGTCAAAAAATAGGCATCATATTATTAGTATTAAGTTTGTTGTAATTTCATAATTACAGTACAAAGTAAGTATTTATGTTTTCTGCCCTGAGTTACCCCCATGTTGAATAGGTTGAATCATGTCATGGAGGTCAATTCCATCATATTTTTTTGTGATTTGGGTGAAAATTTAGAGAGCAAATTCACATTCCATACAACAATTCCCATTATTTTGTCTCATGACATTGACTACAATTTACCACAGTGCTCCCCTCCCACTTTCTCCCCATAGTTACCTCTTCCCTGTGTCCATTCCTCCATGCACTCCTGCCCCTTGAGCTGTCTCCCTGTGCATAAACAGCCCTTCTCTCTCCCATGATTGTTCTCTCCAAGGAGTGTACCTACCTCAGGTAAATGTTGAACTCATATGGTTGTCTTTTGTTTGGTTGGAAGCCACAGGAGTGAGTTCAATTCCAGACCTGAAGGACAGCTAGGGGTCATAGTCTCAGTGGTTCCACCAGGCTCTATCAGACCAGCAAACCTGGTCTCTCACCCCCTTTTTTTTCTCCAAATGATTTTGAGTTTTGTTCCACATTGTTCTCCCTCTCTATCCAGGATCTCCTACATAGATCCCCCTCCAAGTGGTTGACAGTGGTAGCTGGGCACCATCTAGTTCTGGTCTCATAGTAATACAGGCTGCAGATCACATTGTGTACCAGTCACCAGGACTAATTGTTTCCATGAATTTTTGGTTTTCTTGATTCTTCCTTGCTCTGGATGAGGAGAGACCCCTCGTTGCATCTAGATGGATGCTTGCAAGCTTTTAAGATCCTAGTCATTACTCGCCAAAGTAGGAGGTGGAACAATGTTTTGTGTAGTATGTTATGCCAATTGAGCTTGATGTTTCCCGTGACTATGGTCCCGAGCCCCAGGTTCAACTACTCGGTCCCTCTGGATCTGCTGAAGACCAAGAAGTGACTACAACCTTGCTCCTTGTCAGCTTTATCATACATCTGGGAATTCAGATCATATAAATAAATTTATAGGACCAATGTCTGCCAAGCCTATACATGGTCTTGGGTATACTCCCTGCTTCATAGACATACCTACTAGTTCAGCCTGTCTACCCATCTATCCACCTGTATACCCATGTTTGCCTTCACTGACAATGCAGTACTGTTTCTGCAAAAGGGTTCATCTTTGTTGTCTGTACCTCCCATGTGCCTCTCTATGTCTTTCTCTCCCTCAATGCCACCATGTTGATCACTCACATTTGGTACATTGCCCTTCTCTTCACACAAATAAATACTTATCTCTGCCTATCTAACAGTGTTCCCTACCCTCTCCTCCCACCCCTGGTAACCAACAAAGAAAATTGCCTTCCATAGATAAAACTTTCTTTGACTTTTACAATAATGGACTAATACAATATTTGTCCTTCTGTGACTGACTTATTTCACTCAGCATAATGTCCTCTAAGTTCATCCATGTTATGTGGTGTTTTGCAGATTCTACATTATTCTTTTGGGTTGCATAGTATTCCATTGTGTATATGTACCATAGTTTGGTTATCCATTCCTCAGATGATGGACACCTAGGTAGTTTCCATCTTTTGGGTATTGTAAATAGTGCTGTGATGAACATGGGTGTGCATATATCTGTTCTTGTCATGGCTCTCACTTCTTTAGGATATATACCTAGTAATCGAATGTTTGGGTCAAATGGTATTTCTAATTCCAACTTTTGAAGGAATCACCATACTGCTTCCACTGTGGCTGTACCATTTTACAGTCCCACCAGCAGTGTATGAGAGTCCCAATCTCTCCACATCCTTGCCAGCATTTGTTATTTTGTCTTGTTGAACTCTGCTACTAGTGCTGGAGCAAGATGGTACCTCATTGTTGTTTTGATTTGCATCTCTCTAATGACTAATGATCGTTAGCATTTCTTCATATGTTTGTTGGCCGCTTGAATATCCTCCTTGATGAAGTGTCTATTCATGTCTTATGGCCATTTTTTAATTGGATTGTTTGCCTTTTTGTTATTGAGGTGTTAGAGTTTTCTATAAATTCTAGTGATAAGTCCCTTGGCAGATATGTCATTGTCAAATATTTTTTCCCAATACGTAGGTTCTCTTTTGACTCTTTTGGAGAAGTCTTTGGAGGCAAATAAAAATTTGATTTTTAGAAGGTCCCAATCATCTGGTTTCTCTTCTGCTGTTTGTGCATTTTGAGTTATGCTTGATAGTCTATTTATGACATATATTAGGGCCCCTAGATTTGCCCCTAGTTTTTCCTTGAGGAACTCTATAGTTTTGGGTTCCACATTTAAGTCTGTGATCCATCTGGAGTCCATTTTTGTGTATGGTGTGAGGTATAGACCTTGTTTCATTTTTCTGCAAATGGATCTCCAGTTTTGCCAGCACCATTTATTAAACAAACAATCTCTTTCCCATTTAATAGATTTTGGCCCTTTGTCAAAGATCAGCTGACCATAGGCCAATGGATCTATTTCTGGGTTCTCAATTCTATTCCATTGGTCTCTGTGTCTCATTAAACCAATACCAGGTAGCTTTGACTACTGTGGCTGTATAGCAGGTTTTGAGATCCAGTAGTATGAGACCTCCTACTTTGTTCTTCTTCAATAGTGCTTTGCTTATCCAAGGTCTCTTTCCTTTCCATATAGTTAGTAATTGGCTTTTCCATATCCCTGAAGAATGTTGATGGGATCTGGATTGGGATTGCATTGAATGTATAGATTGCTTTGGACAGAACTGACATTTCCACAATCTTTAATCCTATTATCCATGAGCATGGGATGTTCTTCCATTTATGTAGATCTCTTATGGTTTCAGAGGGCATTCTTGTCTGGTTTCTCTTCACAAGAGGAATGGTTCCAGTCTCTCTCCATTGAGAATAATGTTGGCTGTTGGTTTTGCATAGATGCCTTTTATTATGTTGAAGAATGTCCCTTCTATTCCTATTTTACTGAGAGTTTTGAACAGGAATGGGTTTTGGATTTTATCAAATGCCTTTTCTGCATCAATTGATATGATCATGTGGTTCTTCTCCTTTGTTTTATTTATGTGGTGGATGACGTTGATTGTTTTTCTA